CCCTCACTATAATACACCCTCACTGCAACACTCCCTCACTATAATACACCCTCACTGCAACACTCCCTCACTATACTACACCCTCACTATAATACTCCCTCACTGCAATACTCCCTCACTATAATACACCCTCACTGTAACACTCCCTCACTGTAACACTCCCTCACTGTAACACTCCTTCACTTTTCCCTTACTGTAATACTACCTCACTGTAACACTCCCTCACTGTAACACTCCTTCACTTTTCTCTCACTGTAATACTACCTCACTGTTACACTCCCTCACTGTAACACTCCTTCACTTTTCCCTCACTGTAACAATTCCTCACTTTTCCCTCACTGTAACACTCCCTCATTGTAATACTACCTCACTGTAACACTCCTTCACTTTTCCCTCACTGTAACAATTCCTCACTTTTCCCTCACTGTAACACTCCCTCATTGTAATACTACCTCACTGTAACACTCCCTCACTTTTCCCTCACTGTAACAATTCCTCACTTTTCCCTCACTGTAACACTCTCTCATTGTAATACTACCTCACTGTAACACTCCCTCACTGTAATACTCCCTCACTGTAATACTACCTCACTGTAACACTCCCTCACTGTAATACTCCCTCACTGTAATACTACCTCACTGTAACACTCCTCCACTTTTCCCTCACTGTAATACTACCTCACTTTAACACTCCCTGACCATAAAAAACCCTCACTGCATCATAAATGCTTGACGCATACTTACTCCATCACTCTAACACTCACTAACTGTAACACTTTTTCACTGTGATATGCACTCACTTGAATACTTCCTAACTGTAACAACCCCTCACTATAATACTGTACACTATACACTTCCTCACTGTTAAACTATTTTACTGTAATATTCCCAAACAGTAACATTCCCTGGTTGTAATATTACCTCATTGTAATACTCCCTCATTAAATAACTGATTTACTGCTTTAGTTTTATTGTTTTTTTATTCTCTTATTTGCAATTTGTCATTTTATTTGCATTTTATTTAATTGTCTAGATTTATCTGAAATGATGTGCAGCACTTTAGCTGACACTTCTTGTCTTGTAAATGTCCTATATAAATAAAGGTGACTTAACTTGACATTGTACTCCAACACTGTAATATTCCCACACTAGAACTAACAGGAATTTACTGTCACCTGTAATAATTTAATAATAATAATCCCTCATTGTTCACTCGTATGCTGTAATACTCCCACACTGTAGCTGACATGAACTGACTATATATACAGCACGAGTGATTGCTTTAAAACTTCATTAAAATGTGACACTGAAATTTTTACTGAAGTGTCTATTTTATGCATTAATCTTTGTGTAATTCAATATTTTAGTGAATCAAATGATCAAATATCTCACTGGAATATTGTGCTGTTCATTTATTTAACTCTGTCTGTTTCTGGTGAACAGCGCGTCCTGTAAATCTATATATATATTGGTTTTATGTACTGTATATCACTCACACACACACACACACACACACACACACACACACACACACATATATATATATATATACATATAACTATTTACCATGGTTGGGTGTAGTTGGTGTTGTGGTTGTGGTTGTCGTTGTCGTTGTAACGTCGGATGTTCCTAAAAACGTAATATGAATGTTTTATTAGATAATTACATGAAATATATACATTAAAATAAGCATATTTGTTGGAGTAATTTACCTATTTCTCATAGCTCTTAACAGCACTTTGTCATCAATTTCAAATTCAAATTTTATTGTTCTCACAAACACACCAAACACTTGCTTTTAATTTTTTTAATGACTTTCCGGTGACATAAAAGGGAATTTAAAGAGAATTTTTCAGTGAAAAGTGATCTATCTGATCTGGTGATCATGGTCACATGTGCATAAATGCTGTAAAGCAAAAATACTTGCTATATCTCCTATAAAGAGCAGTAAACAGCACTAAACTAAATAAAATGGATTATATGTGGCATAGCAACCCTTTGCATCAGTAGTCTCAAGAATATATATATATACATATATATATATATATTTTTTTTTTAATACAGTTTTAGTTTTCTGGTATGTTTGAATATCTTGAAGATTCTGCCACAGTTCTTTTTTTCTTGCCTTCACAAATATAAAACAGTTTTTGTCACATTTCAGTTCTTGGGGGGAAAGTCATAAAATACACATTTAACAGAAAATTAGTTTTAAAATGCCTATTATAAAAAAGACTTTTGCACAATACTGTATGATGGTTACACATACACAGATCCTTCTTCCTAAAAAGTAGTGCTATCTGTGAAAGAATAAATGATACACATGTGCTATGTTGGAGCACTCTTGTAATATTACTCAGTGTGAATAGAAAAGGAAGGGTTTGCAGGTAATCTCACCATTTTTGCAGGTTTGTAAGTAGTCTGGACAGCAGTCCTTAAACTGCACGCAGATCTCATCGCAAAAACAGCCCCTATAGCAGGAATTATTATGTCCCTTGCAGCATAGTGCTGTGGGTAGTGAGCATCTACCTGTAACACACAACAATTACACAGAGATTCATTTATGAACAAGGAGCATAAACGTAAGGTTTTAAGTGTGATATGGAGCAAGGACAATAT